CTCAAATCGCTTGCTCCAATTACCACTGATGTTCTCTTTCCTTAGTCATAATAACCCATCAATATGCAGATAACCAGAAATCTTATAAATAGACGACCATGCAATCCAACTGTAGGCGATGGGACTCTCCCACTTAGCTTGAAGCTACTATTGCATAAACCTGGAACCCACCAAGATTCTTTCTTCATCGATAGGATCTAGCATAATCAACCTGCCAAATTCCTCGAAATCCTTCCATTAACCTTTAATGAACACTCCGAACCACTAGCCACATTTACATATTCAATCTCTTACCGGGTGGCCAGTAGAATTCTTTTGCAGAAGCTTCGTCAACACCACGCGACCGCTAACCTGCTCACAGGAGATAACTCACCTGTGAAAATTACATGCCGACATATTCCAATGTCGCTACACTGGGTATAATTACTACGAAATCAGTAGACCATCCTGAGTCCGAGCTCATTCACCAGCTGAACCAGTCCGTTCACTCCTCATGGACGTCAACTAAAGGTGTGACAATACATTCCAATCCAAAGTCATGTTGTAACCTTCTTCATATCAAGCAACTCCTTTTTGTTGTATCTAATCTCCCGCCGTATAATAGCCAATATTTCAAATTAAGTCCGTAGGCCCAATCACTGTCCACCATAATTCCCAAATCACTCTAAACTTTCCTCAAGGCGTGTAGCTATCCTATCACAGAACCCACATGCTACTCTGCCACTCTCCCACTTTGGTCAAACTCACTCCTTTAAGTAACTACCCGATTCTTGTTCTCACACTTGGCCTTCTATAAGTTTATCCACCGCAAGGCACCTCCCACATGTCCTTCCCCATCCTTCGCTGCCCAGTTGTTGCCTTAAATCAAAATCTACCTCTGTAGCACTTGAACCGATAGATCGCTACCAACTTTAAACCTTTCCGGAAATCATCTTTCTCGAGCCATCAATACCAGGAATGCTGATTCGATCCTGAAGCTCTGCATACTGCGACCTCTCACAGTCACTTTCTCGGCACCATTTATAATACTCTGCCCCAAGGCGAATTGAAGGGAACCATAACACCGGCGAACTTAACACATTATAACCAATCAAGGACGATGACGCCACATCACAGGCAAAGATTCCACCATGCTCGAAAATATCGAGTCCCGCTACTCCATCAACCCAAGTCTGCACATTCTTAGTTCGATTGCCATTCCTCCGTCGAAAGTAAAATACCGAATCTCTAAATCATGCACTAAGTAAACCTCATTTCAAGTCATTCACTGCCCCGAGATATAGGCAACCATCTTACCATCACATCAATACTGTGTGATAACAACTCATGAGCATCACAGCAACATGTGCATAGCCTCAAAGCTCTCAAAAGTACAGTTATTAAGCTGAAATGACAGAATATCCTTCCACATCGCATAAGATTGAATGGGAAAGAAATGAAAGCATAAGCCTCAAAGGAATCAAATCGCACGATGAGGAATCAAGAAGGAAAGTGCTCCTAAAAGGCCTGTAGCCTCTCGTAGATAAGTACAGACGTCTCCATACCGATCCACAAGACTCTACTAGACTCGCTCATGACTCGTGAGACCTAAGTGAACCTAGTGCTCTGATACCATATTGTCACGACCCAAAATCCATTAAAGGTCGTGATGGCGCCAGACATCGCTGTCAGGCAAGCCAACACTAAATACTTAATTCAGGTCTCATTTTAATATTTTTGAAATTATAGTTTTCCCTCTATTAAATAGTAGGAGATGGAGTTTACAAAATACATAATAATATCTTTAAAAATTCCAATACAGTGCAACCCATAATCATCCCAAAATCCGGTGTCACAAGAGCATGAGCATTAACTCGGAATGTAAAATAAAATACAACAGTTGTCCGGAATACAAATTGGACAGGAAAAATGTAAGTACTCTGAAGGAGACTTTGTTGGCTGCGGATCATCGTATAGAATGTATCTCACCTAAGTCCCCGCCAAATACGCGCCTCTGCACCCACAAGGCCGCTAAACATATGTGTACCTGCACAAAAATGTGCAACAAGTATAGCATGAGTACGTAAATCAATGCGTACCCAGTAAATATCTCGCCTAACCTCGAAGAAGTAGTGACGAGGGGTCAACTCGGACACTTACTATGGGCTATAATTAATATGCCAATGATATGATTAAGCATGGATCACGTAGAACGACTATAAGCCCGATATCATGAAATAAGTAAACAATTCTTTTGTTAACGAAAATTTCCCAAATGCATTTTCATCATTTTAACTATTTATATCTCGGGACAATGAGGCAATATCAATTATTATAATTTCCGAAGCAATTAATACAATCATGCACAAGTCATGCCGAGGTCGTACGGCCTGATCCAATAATAAAATAAAATGTGCACTGCCGAGGGTCGAACGACACGAACCATAGATGCATCTATAAATTTCCCTGCTCGCGAATCATACATGCGACGCGGCCAAATATAAGTTTAACATTTAAATCATATCTCTTTCTTGATTCTTTTCAAAATAAGGAAAATTTAGCTTGTAGCTGTTTAAGGAAATTACTCTGCTCGCGAAACATACATGCGACGCGGTTACATATAAATTTCTTCAACTTTTATGATATTACTCAATTCTTTTCGAAATTATGAAGTTCAAATGAAACCTTTTAAATCTTAAGTTCTTCAATTTCAATTTCTTTCAAAACATTTAATAAGCAGACTCAATCTCGCTCCCTCTCGAGGCAAACAATAAACATAAATCAATAACAATATCAACAAGGCATGATGTGAGCCTAAAACTACCCAGACGTAGGCATAGCTAGTAGCTACGTACGGACTCTCGTCACCTTGTGCATACGTAGCCCCTACAAATAGAAGCACACAATAATTTAGTTCACCTATGGGGTTAATTCCCTCTTACAAGATTAGAAAGGAGACTTACCTCGCTCCGTAGTCCCATGACCGGCTTCCGAGCCCTTCAAACAACTCAAATCGATGCCAACGCTCCAAAACTAGCCAATAATTAAGCAAACCCATTAATATACACTCGAATACTCATTATAATCCAATTTATAGCAATTTCTAACCCCGATCGGAAAGTCGATAAAAATCACCCTTTGGCCCACGTGCCCAGATTCCGAAAATTTTTGAAGATAAACTTTACCCATAACCTCACGAACTAAAATATATAGTTTATTCTCAATTCTATGCCCAATTTCGTGGTCAAAATCCAAAATACCAAATTCTAGGTCTTCTACCAAAAATTCCACAATTTATACTAATTTTCATGTTCCAATCCATGTATAATTCATGTATTTAACTCACAAATAGGAAGAAACCACTTACCTAGAATTGCTAGATGAAAATCTCCCCTTGAAGCTCTCCAAAATCGTCCAAACCAAACGAAAATGGGAAAAAAATGGGCCAACTCCCATTTTTATAAAAACCCTTCTGCCCAGCGACAATTCCGCACCTGCGGAATAGTAGCCGCACCTGCAGCTTCGCAGGGGCGAGGTTCCCTTCGCTTCTGCGCCTTCTTCCGCTTTTGCGATCAACTCCTTCGCTTCTGCGCTTGCGCAGATGCGGCCAATACTCTGCACCTGCGGTCCTTCCCCTAACTGCCCAACTCTGCATCTGCGACTCCTAGGCCGCTTCTGCGGCTCCGCACCTGCGGCCAAAACCTCGCAGGTGCGGTTGCACCAGATATCAGGTCCCTCAATTCTTCCTCAAATTCCATTTTCGATCCGTTAACCACCCGAAATCCACCCGAGCCCCCCGGGACCTCAACCAATTATACCAACACGTCCCAAAACACATTACGAACTTAGTCGAGCCTCCAAATCACATCAAACAACGTCGAATTCATGAATCGCACCTCATTGCAAGCTTAATGAACTTTAGAATTTTAAACTTATACATTCGATGTCGAAACCTATCAAATCACGTCCGATTGACCTCAAATTTTGCACACAAGTCATATTTGACATTACGGGCCTATTTCAACCTCCGAAAATTGAATCCGACCCCGATATCAAAAGTCCACTTCCGGTGAAACTTCTCAAAAACCTTCAAATTTCTAACTTTCGCCAAATGACTCCAGAATGACCTACGGACCTCCAAATCCACTTCCGGACGCGCTCCCAATACCAGAATCACCATACGGAGCTACTCCTATACTCGGAATCCCAAACGGACATCGATAACGTTGTAATGCACTGCAACCCAAATTTATGAAATTTTTCCCAAGTGTTAACTTCCACAATAGGCGCTAAAATGCTCCCGGTTCATTCAAAATCCGATCCGGACATACGCTCAAGTCCGAAATTATCATACGAACCTGTTGGAACCTTCAAATCCCGATTCCGAGGTCGTTTGCTCAAAAATCCAATATTAGTCAATTCTTCCAACTTAAAGCTTCCGAAATGAGAATTTTCTTTCCAAATCCACTCTGAACATCCCGAAGTTCAATTCTGACCACGCGTACAAGTCATAATACCTGAAATAAAGCTGTTCATGGCCTCAAACCGTCGAACGACGCGCTAGAGCTCAAAACGACCGGTCGGGTCGTTACAAAATAAGAGATTGACCACTTTAATCTTCAAAAATTGTTAGAATTTATAGTTAATTAAAGAAACTCTATTCACTTTTGTCGTTATTTATGTTGCAATAAATTAGAATTGTTCAAGTTTCCATGTTTACCTAATGAACGTTAGGTAAGTTTTTTAAGTTTTCTATTTTTCTTTTTGTTAGAATAAGAAAATCTTTTAATTGATTTTAAAGGCCTAATTTAAATAAGGAAAAATTTAATAAACTAAATTTTATTTGATTTTAATGTCCTAAATATTTGGAGAAGCGCTAAATGATAAGATTATTCGATGTAAAATCATGTTTTAAAGGATAAAAAAAGACAAACGGCATTTCGCTAAGGGCTTTCGTACTTTTAATATAGTGTATATATATATATATATATATAACATATATAAATCACCTCCTCTCTGTCATGGTGTATTCGAATTGGCCTGATGATTTGATAACAGAGATTCTAGTGAGACTGCCCGTGAAATCTCTTTTACGATTCAAATGTGTGCATAAGAATTGGTACTCTCTTATTACAAGCTCTTTTTTTGTTAGAAAACACCTTCATCACAAGGAAAACCCTACCCATCTCTTAATACCTATTTATGGCGAAGATGTGATCTCACAAACCGGCACCACTATTTATGTGTTGCCCGATAAAATATTATCCGGTTTGATTCCTGAAAAGCCTAGTCATTCACAGATTTCTGTACAATTGAATCAGTTTATTGGTCGTGTTGATGGCTTATTTTTCTTGCTCAATATTTCATATCAGAGCCATGTCAATGATTCACATCGTATGGCTCTGTGGAACCCAGCTACAAGAGAGTTTAGACCTCTTCAACTAAATCTTCCCAAGTTTACCCAATCTTATTTTAGGTATTATGATAGTGTATTTGGCTTTGGCTTTGATCCAATAAGTCAAGATTACAAGGTGGTTTGCATTTGGTTTCTTTCTGATCAAGATGCGTCTATTCCTTATGTGTGGTTTGCTGCCGTTTACTCATTAGACAATGACTGTTGGAAAAAGATAACCTGCAATTTTGATGCTGATCTATTAATGCATAGGTCAATAATGAGCTCGACCTGTTTCAATGGATTTTATTATTGGTGTGCAAACATTACTGTTACAGTCAGCCACAATACCTATAAGCAAATCCTCCTAATCCGATTTTTCGATATGCACAATGAAGTGTTAGGTGAATTTTCATGGCCTAACCATATACCAGCATTTGATCTTTGTGATCTCACTATTTATAAGGAGTCCCTTTGCCTACTCGTGCGTCATCTTGATCTCGACGATGATCATAACAACAACTACTCTGATCCTCCAATTGATATATGGGTTATGAAAGACGAAAGATTGTGGATTAAAGTTCTTAACGTGGTTCCTACGAGGACTGAACTTCTTAATGTGGTGCCTACGATATCTGAGTGTCAGCCTATAGGGTTTTGGGGTCATGATAAGTTTATATTTTCACGTCATGAAAATATAATGTTATATGACTCTAAAACTCATGAATTTACACATCTACTTGATAAAAACGAAGAGCGGTGTTATAGTTCTGTTTTTAATTACAGGGAGAGTCTAGTTTTCATCGAATGGGAAAACGTGTGTCATAGGCAAGGCGATGTCTTGGATCTCATTCAAGATTTTTTTTAAGATAGCGAAGATGAAGAACTTTGAATGGAGGTGATTTTGTGTCATTCTTTGCTTGGTACAAATTAGATGGGAAGAAGTCTGCTATTAGAAAAACAAATTATGGTGGTGAACTGAGTTTAATAGAATTTTGTCATTTAGTTTATCTTTGATTGAAAATATGAGATAATGTATGCTAACTCTGTTTTATATTTTCTGTTGAAGTGCAGATTGTGAATATGGTTTGATTACTTGGTAGACATCTTTGTTTATATGCATTGTATGTCTTTACATTTCCCGCGAAAACCTTTTATTCTACATCTTTTTACCACACAATTAGTTCAGGTATTTCAACGGCAGTGTAAGTGATCAATTAACTCATATTTTGCACAAAGTTCTATTACTCTTAGTGGTGGCTCCGCAATTTCTTATGGGCACATGGCATCCCATAATTTAGTCTTATTGACTACACCCCAATTCCGAGCTTTATGTTACTCTTTCCAATTGGCATGTCAGGTTCGGGGCGTCCCCGTTGGATAAAATGATCTCCCCAAATCCGTAAAATCAGAATTTCGATCAAATCACATATCGAATACTGGGCCTTCTGATTCTGAAAGTCGATACGACAAACCCGCTGTTAAAACAGGTTGTACAGAAATTCTACGTTAAAATATTCACACCAAATAAAATAGTTATAATTGGAGTTTTTATATATATTTGGTCTTGAAAATAGGCTATTCCTCAACCCTCAGATCCTCCTTCGAACTTGTAAAGTTGCCCCCTGGACAACCATAAAATCATGTACCTAAATTAGCCCACTACTGCCTCGTTACCTACACGGCCTAAAGACCTCTTGAATCACAATGGAATATTATTTGGGGATTTGCGGTAGTACCCTATATTTGTGTCACTTTTTAATATGTACCCAATTTTTTAAAATTATTGATTTGGTAGTTATAATATGACAATTACACTCCTGACAAAAGATATAAAACGATCTTCTCCTCTCCTCTCAGTAACTTTATAAAAAAATCAGAAACTTGTCCAGATTCATCTTCAGAATCACACTTGCATAAAGTTGTTTCACCTTAAAGCTGAAGTTGTTTTATGTTGAAGCTAAAATTTCATGCTAATATAGCATGAAATTGTTTCAAATTGAAGCTAAAACTTCAGTCTAAACATGCTGAAGTTATTTAGTTCATTTGCTAAAATTTCAGACTAAACATGCTTAAGTTATTTAGTTCATTTGCTACAATTTCATACTAAACATGCTTAAATTATTTAGTTCACTTGCTAAAACTTCAGACTAAACATGCTTAAGTTATTTAGTTGATTTACTAAAATTTCAGACTAAACATGCTTAAGTTTTTTAGTTCATTTGCTAAAACTTCAGACTAAACATGCTTAAATTTTTTAGTTCATTTGCTAAAACTTCAGACTAAACATGCTTAAGTTTTTGTCTTGTAGTATGTAATTTTCTAATGAGTTTTTGCTAATGCATGCTGAAATTATTTAGTTCACTTGCTAAAATTTCAAACAAAACATGCTGAAATTATTTAGTTCATTTGCTAAAACTTCAGACTAAACATGCTGAAATTTTTTAGTTCATTTGCTAAAATTTCAGACTAAACATGCTTAAATTTTTGTCTTGCAGTATGTAATTTTCTAAAGAGTTTTTTCTAATGCATGTTGAAGTTATTTAATTCATTTGCTAAAATTTCATACCAAAACATGTTGAAGGTTTGTAACGCAGTCTACAGTTTTGTCCTGAGTTTTATCCGAAACTTCAGTCTAAACAAGCTTACGTTTTTTAGTTATTTGCTAAAACTTCAGTCTAAACATACTTAAGTTTTTGTCCTGCAGTTTTTCAATAGTCTTTTATTAAAGAAGGGCAAAATCGTCTTTTTAAAATATTTTTAACAACAAAAAAAATAGGTACGGATACAAACAGAAAAATAAAACGGGTATAAGTTAAAAGGGGGCGACCAAATAAGGCGCCTCGTGTAATTTTTACAATATTATTTGTAAGGAGACCATCCTATAGCTTAGAGGTTTAGAGTATGTGTGTGTGTATATATAGCTTCTGCGAAAATTAACAACTTCTGACATTGCTCCAATAGATTACTGTAAAACACAAAAAAGTAGGACAATATTCATTACTTAAAAGTTAATACTCGAAACAAACTACTCAAACATTTTCATGGTGCTCTTAACATATCCAAACACCAATAAATTATGTTCATCAATCACATTTGATATATATATATATATATATATATATATATATATATGACTTCTGCGAAAATTAATAACTTCTGACATTGCTCCAATAGATTACTATAAAAACAAAAGAGGAGGACAATATTCATTCCTTAAAAGTTAATACTCGAAACAAACTACTCCAACATTCTCATGGTGCTCATGACATATCCAAACACCAATAAATTATGTTCATCAAGCACATTTGAATCTACTTGTGAAATAAAGATGTTTTAACATCTTCATTTTGATCTAAATCTATAATTATATGCAGTGTGGCCAATCTTCTTGCTAGTGGTGCTTTTTCCATTCCCCGGTCTCGTGAGCCTTCTCCAGATGTGTCTCTTTCTCATCGTGATCCTTCGAATTATGCAGACAATGAAGGTTCTAGTAGTGGAGATGGAGATGATGTAGTACAAAACACTCATTGAATGATGTTTGAACTTTTAACATGTGAAACGTTTTGTTGTTGGATATGATGTTTTGTTAATATAGTTTAGTGGAGATAGAGATGATGTTTTATTAATATAGTTTTGATAGTTGTTATTGTTGTTATTATTATTGTTGTTATTGGTTGAATGGAAGCAATGTAATGCTGCCATTATAGGTGATTAGTTGTTGGCAGGTGGTGCAGCTATAAAATAGTTGTATTTTGCCAAAAACTTACCCAGAAAACCGACCGCCTACTGACTGAAGTCGGTCGGAAATGTTCGATTAATTTCCCAGAAATTTAAATTTAACGACCGACTCGGTCGGAATTTTTTATTTTAAATATTTCAATAATACCGACCGATTTCGGTTAGAATTGAACAATTTTTTTTTAAAAAAAAAAGAATAATTAAAATTCGGACCGAGGTCGATCGCTAATTTTAAAAATAATTAAAAATTATTTTCAAGAATATCGACCAACTTCGGTTGATAAATTTATTTTGTGTCAGAATATTTGGTCAAGGTGCGTTGAAAATTACCTACCGACTTTGGTCGAAAATATCGACCATTTGCGGTCGATAGCCATTAGCGACCATTATTTTTTCGACGAATTGAAAACCATCAAAATCGGTCAATTTTTGTTCGATTCTGACCTATTTCGGTCAGTTTTCTGGATGCTTTTTGACAGTTTTTAGTAGTGAGACAAAGTTACCAGACTATTCTAATTACATGTTTGTAGAAATTTTATATTCACACCAAGTAAAATAGTTTCATAATCGAAGTTTTTATATTTGGTCTTGAAAATAGGTATATGTCACAAATATTACAATTAAAAGAACATGAAAATGAACAAAGGTGCGGAGGGAGGAATACAACTCCAATTCCTTGTCAGTATTTTAGACTTTACCATATTATGTTCTTTTTTTTGTAATGACCCGGCAAGCCGTTTTGAGAGTTAGAGCCCCAAACTCCCATTAACTGCTTTGCCCATATCTATTTCTCCTATTGTGACTTGCTGGGATGATTGGTTTTGAGTTTCGGAGTGTTTTGGGACACTTAGTCCCTAAATAAGAGCTTAAGTCTTAGAATTTGAATTGTGGTCGGAACTGTGTGAAGACGGTTCCGGAATAGAATTATGTCAGTTCTGTTAACTCCGTTAGGTGATTTTGGACTTAGGGACGTGTCCGGATTGTGTTTTCGAGGTCCGTAGCTTATTTAGGCTTGAGTTGGCGAAAATCGAATTTTTGGAATTTTGGACCGGTATTGAAAATTTTGATATCGGGGTCGGATTAAGATTCTGGAAGTTGAAGTAGGTCCGGAATGTTGAATATGACTTGGGTGCAAAATTTGAGGACATTCGGACTTGGTTTGATAGGTTTCGGGATCGGTTGTAGGAATTTAAAGTTTCAAGTTCTTTAAATTTGAATTGGAGGGTGATTCGTGATTTTAGCGTTAGTTGATGTGATATGTGGGCTCAAAAGTCCGTATGGTATTTTAAGATTTTTTGGTATGTTTGGTTGAGGTCCCGGGGGCCTTGGGTGAGTTTCGAATGCTTAACAGATCAAAAGTTGGATTTGAGTTGTTGTTGAAGTCTTCATACATCTGTCATTTTCGCACCTGCGGTAGAGAGACCGCAAGTGCATGATCGCGCGTGCGGAGAGGCAAGCGCAAAAGCATAAAAATGGAGGAGTGCCTGGGGTCGCAGGTGCGAGGTGAATTCTGCATCTGCGATGCCCGCAGATGCGTCAGGGTCATTGCAGGTGCGCAATGTCCGCAGAAGCGGAAGGGATTTCTGCATGCGCGCACGCGCTGGTGCGGCCCTTTCATCGCAGGTGCGAAGGCAGAGGGGGTAAGTGATTTGCGCAGATGCGCACATTTTTGCCGCACCAGCGCACCCGCAGGTGCGAGCCCAGCCTCTGCAGGTGCGGAAATACCTGGGCAGTGGATAAAATCGAAGGGCTTCGCGATTTATGTCATTTTTGGACTTTGTCACTCGGTTTAGGGAGATTTTTGAGAGCATTTTCGAGAGATTTCTTGAGGTAAGTCCCTTGTGCTTATTTTCGATCAATAATCTTGCTTCCCCATGTATTTTCCCACCTAGTTAGTGTGTATTTAAGGTAGAAATTGGGAATTAGAGGCTAGGGATTTGGAAGTTTGATTTGTGGATTTGGAGGACCATTTGGTGTTGGATTTTAGTAAATTTGATATGGTTAGACTCGTGAGTGAACGGGATTTTGTATTCTATAACTTTTACCCGATTCCGAGATATGGGCCCCACAAGCAATGGGCCCGATTGATTGAGCTTGGTTCGAGGTAAGTGGCTTGCCTAGCTTTGTGGGGGGAAATCCCCTTAAGATTTGGAACTATTGTGATACGTGAGCGTCGTGTGCGTGAGGTGACGAGTACGTACACGGGCTAGTTGTGGTAAACCCCCAATTT